CCTGTTGGAGTTGTTCGCCGCCCTGAGTCCCTTTTTGGGAATAGGGCGGCATATAAATAAAATGAAACTTCAAACTTCAACTTCAAACTAGTCTGAACAGACTTATATTCTCCATTCCTCCTGCTCCCAAGGTGGAAAGTAGAATTCAGTAGGATTTATGCAGTAAAAGATAAGATCCAAAGACATACATTTGCACAGACTTCCCTGCAAGCCCCAGATTTTTTTTAAAACAAGAACACGGCAGGAGCATCAATGGGGTGCCAGCATTATGCTTTAGCGTCTCTTCTTTCCCATTCCAACAACGGTGTTATGTTTCCAGAGCAGTCCATCAGCAAAGCTTGTTACTTAAATTTTAGAAGCCACAGATTTCATAGGTGTGAAATAAGCTCTACACATGCAGAGTAAGGTCTTCCAAGAAGTGAATCTAAGGTAGCCACTGGCCACTATTTCATAAGCCCCAAGAAATAAGTAAATAAGAATTGCATTTAATGCCAAATAAAAAGCTGGAATACCAAGACCCTACATGCTATGGAGAGGTGTGTTAGCCAGAACCCAAGCAGACCCACCACCATGCATCCCAGCGGCCAGAGACAGTATATTTACTTGGGTTTGGCATCAGCTTGAATCACATCTGATCTTCCATTTCTGTCGCTGTCATATGGGGGAAAAAAGGATTAATGAGCAGGGACACAAAATTGAAGGGTGTGCCAAATCTTAAAAAAGCGTCTTTCTATGATATGGGAAGAATGGAGTGGGCAGATTCTACCCATCTATTTAGGAGGAGGTTGGAAGCACACAGGTAGTCCAACATACGACCACTTGTTTAACAACAATCTGAAGTTATCACAATGCTGAAAAGTGACTTATGATTTGTCCTCAAAGTTATTGTTGTTGTTCCACTTCCATTGGTCATGTGATCACAATTTGGTTGCTTGGCAACCAGCTCACATTTACCATGGCTGCAGAATTCTACAGTCACATCAGTGGTGGGATTCAAATAATTTAACAACCGGTTCTCTGCCCTAATGGCCAGCTGGGTAGNAGTGTCATAACAAAGTAATCATAAAGAAATCCTCCTGCAAACTTGGTCATTTCTGGTCATTGCATCCATGTGGATTTCTTATTACTATTATGGATATGGCTTCCCAATCTAAGCAAGGAACTAATTTCCAAAAAAAAAAAGAACAGATATTGTATTACTAAATAGCTTGTGAATTACTAGTGAGTCAAATCAACCAAACAAGTCATAATTAAAACACATATCCATTCCTACTCTTATCTCAGAATAAAAAGTAAGCAACTCTGGATAAATTCTTTTTAAAAAGGTTATGAATTCACTATAATTTCTATTCTACGGAATTCTGAAATCGGAAGCAAATTCTGATCCTGAATTGGTATACTACGGGAAGGTAATAGATAGAAGGTAACTGATTTAAGTAAGATCAAAGAAAGATGAAAAGAGAGAGATCAACATTCAAGATAATTCCTTGGAATAATTTAGAATATATTCTCCTTTAACAAGAACCTCTAAGATTAGAACTTGACAATTACCAAATCAGAGATCTACAGGAATGGATGAAATATCCACAGAAATATAGCAAAGAGAATAACTATCAGTAAAACCTGTAACCAAAACGATGCCAGCAAATCTGGAGAACGACAGTGGTCAGCAGATTGGAAGAGGTGAATTTACATACCATTGCCAAAGAAAATCAATTTAACGATGTGTACAAACTACTATACAATATCCTTAATTTCACATACCAGCAAATAATGCTTAGGATCAGAATAGCTTTTGGATTAATTTTGAATCATCCAAAATTCCATACATGGAAAGGAGATCCTATATTTTCCTCTATCAGGGAAGTGTCATCAACATGTCACAGGATACTGTTGTTCCTTCCTCCAATTTTAAAAGCTCATTTTTATTTTCCCAATCCAACCTCTCCCAATATATATTCAGCATGTAAATTGACACAATCATAAACATTTTTTTGTAATCCGTGAAGCACACATTGATTTATTTTTTTGATATTCTTTTTAAATTATTCAGCATGCATCAGCCATAATATTTCGTATTCCTTGACTTTCTCTAAAGCTCAGTTTGAGCATCTGGCTTCTATTAATGAAAGTCAAAGAGCACAGTGAAAAAAAATGGAATTAAGATTAAATACAAAGGCCAAGATAAGGATAATAGGTACATCAACCAACATTAGAACTGACAATGAAAATACTGAAGTGGTAATTATCTTTTGCCTTTTAGGGGTAACTATCAGTAATAAAGGAACCAGCAGTTAAGAAATATGTTGTAGAATAATCGGCACATTAGCAATAAAGGCCTTAGTTATTTATTTTTCCCCCAAAAAATTATATTATGATGACTAAGAAAGGGAAGGAACAAACTCATTCTCTTCAGTCACTTGTTACCTTTGCTCCACAGTCTGCTCCTTTCTGTATGCAAAAACCAATGAACCGAGGATCAGCAACTTTTACCAAAATGTTATCCACGCAATAGACATGTATGCTGCCAATTCCTCGTTGTTCCATGTCCTCTATAATATGATGAGTTCCTAAAGCTCGATACAGACCCCCATTGCCATCTTTAGGGGGAAAAAAAGAAAATGCTATTTTATTGTTTCTTGGATTGTTTGTTTTTAGCATTTCTGACTTTTTTTCAAGCTACATTTGATATACAGATGTAAAAGTTTGCAATACAGAATGGGGAACATTTTGTTCCTGGTTCTACAGGTAGCCCTCGTTTAGTAACTGCTTCAGAGAGTGACTATTTGCAAATATGATAATAATAAACATGGTTAATGATAGTGAAAAAAATCATTTTCTGATCAATCTGCACATCTATGTCCAGATTTTTGAACTTGACAACACCACAAAGTGTAGTAACAGTAATGAAGGCTTTGTTGCATGATAATTTTATCTGAAGGAGATGGCAGCATCCAGTGATCTTCATAGCATCTCTCTGTGNCTGTTGATGACGTCAGCTACGCGGTTTAGTCGAGCGCGGTTTAGTCGAGCGCGGTTTTGTGGTGGAACCTTTATTTATAACCTAATGTTATTTTTTATAAATAAGTTAAAGGGGCGAACACACACACAATGCTCCTTCCTCCCCCTACTTTCCCCACAACAACCATCCTGTGAGGTGAACTGAGCTGAGAGAAAATGACTAGCCCACAATCATCCAGCCTAAGGCGGGAGTAGAGTTCTCTAGATGTTGTTAAAATGTCACTCCCAAGGTTGCACCCAGCCTAGCAACAATGAGGGATGTTGCAAATTGTTATTTCAGCAATATTTGAAGAGAAAAAATGTTGCTTTTCCTTGAATTTCAGAGATATTTCTTTAGTCACGATATTTTTTTGACCTTGATACTCAACTTCAATATGTTTCTTGGGACATTTTTTAGAGCCAGCGGAATATTTGTATCAGAAACATTCAACCTTTCTTGCTATATAATAAAGGTGATGAGCTTTTAACACTATACCACGTCATCTGACATTTTCTTCTTCACTGTTCCGCCTACATCGAAACAAACTATTGCCATCTCTCCCACAAAAGATAACTGAGGGGGCAAGTTTCCAAAGTCAAATGTTTGGGAGCATTCGGGTACAAACAAATGGGGTTATTTAATACCAATTCAGTGGCCCATCAAGCTCAGTTCAGGAACGGAAACTTTAAATTGAGGCCTAAACTTCATGTAGTTCATCTATACGGACATGCTATTTTGATATTTGATTGCTCTTTCATACACAAACCTTTTTTTTTAAATTGTGATTTTGTTTTTCCAAAAATCTTTCTCTCTCCAGGAGTATATGTTCAAACTCCAGTCTCAGACACAGAGGATAGAGACTAGACCAGCGTTTTTCAAACTAGGAAATTTTAAGGTGTTGATCTTCAACTTCCAGAATTCCCAAACCAGCATTCTGGAACATTGGTATAACACAACTGTGTATGTTCTCTCAGTTGAACTGGAATTACATGCAGACAGCATAAAGTGCTATTATTAGAGATGTAATATAAAAATTTGGGGAAGGTCAAATTTTCTAACCGTGGAATAGCAGGCAGGCGTGTTCCATTTTCATCCACAAAGTGTCCACCAGCGTTGAGAACCCAACAGTGATGAAGTGACATCAAGGAGTGTCTCGCCGTGGTGGGATTGTCTTTGCCATTTTGGCTGTCAGCATTTTTCAAAGGGGAGAATTCGTTTTCTCGCAGCACTTCGTAAACCACAAAGTTCCTGGATTCAAAATAAAGCTGAGATTGGTCAACTGTAAAGATTTGAATCAGTTTCTGCTTCTGCTACCATGTTTCCCCAAAAATATGACCTACCTCGAAAGTAAGTTCTAGTTTGATGTTTACACGTGCGCCCAATATAAGCCCTACCCCCAAAATAAACCCTAATTAAGACTCAGCCCACTCTAGGCTGCCTGGGTAAAAATTAAGCTAGGATGGAGATGGGGGATGGAGCTGCCCTACTATCTACCTTCGGACAGTTGCAGCCAGGCCTCGCATACCCCAATATCTGCCTCGCCAGCCCATTTTTTCAGCGGCCGGCAAGGCTTTCCTGAAGGCCCCTGCAGCCAATAAGAGGGTTCCAGATTGATCTGGAGCTCCGTTATCGGGCTGCAGAGGCCTTCAGGAAAGCCCTTCTAGTTGCAGAAGAAATTCCTGAAGGCCTCTGACAGCGAAAAAGAGGCCTGAGGTGATGCGTGCAATTGAGGTGAGTCAGTGTTCAACATACACTCCCCAAAAATAAGACCTGGTGCCTCTTTTGGTGGCAAAAAAATAAGACAGGGTCTTATTTCCGGGGAAACACAGTACTATCAACGAGAGTCATATAGATGGACATTAGCAATAAACATATGCCAAGGAAAAGTAAACAAGAAGGGAAGAAAATATTTCTACAATTATTTATATCTTCACCCAAAACATTTTTTCAAAGCTTTCAAAACTAAAATGCATACCAACTTTATAGCAATTGGTGGAGCTAGGTGTAGTCTTTCCTTTAGATAGGCACAAAGATAAACTGGCATTACAGAGACATTGAAGAAGTTTGCCTTGAGCTCCAGTCTAAACAGGATGGCCACCAAGTATCTGGTTTCTCCTCTAAACCACATGTGTTCCTCCTGTTGCTTTTGATTGGTTCCCAAGACAACCTTAGAACAAATCACTGTTCCTCATTCTTCTGTAACACCATACACGAATGCCTACGAATGCCACACAATCTAATTTGAATATTATATGTAGCATATCCTTTTTTGATCCATGCTCAACCGCACATCTTACTCTTCTATCTGCTAGCTTCTTGTAATAGCAATAGCAGTTAGACTTATATACCGCTTCATAGGGCTTTCAGCCCTCTCTAAGCGGTTTACAGAGTCAGCATATCGCCCCCACAGTNAACCTTGAGCCGGTGAGATTTGAACCGCTGAACTGCAGATAACAGTCAGCTGAAGTGGCCTGCAGTACTGCACCCTAACCACTGCACCACCTAGGCTCCTCATTAGTATGTGATGTAGTGTTTTCAGACAGCTCAGCTTCTTAGCTGCACTCAAAATAATAATCTCATGAAAGCAGGAATGGGGCGGGGGGTGAAGAGGGAACTTTCAAAAGAAAAGTAAAGAAGAGTTATACCAAGATGCACACAAAATAAGTCAGTCAGTCACTTGGGACTTACTTGGCAAACTGGAAGATATCAAATACAAATTTTTCCATTTTAATTCCATTCGGTTTGTCAGGCTTCAGAGCTTTTCCTGTGGTCACGTCTACATGTGGGACTTTTTTCTGAGCGATGTGATGTTGCAGCTGAGGTTCATAATTACTGAAACATCAAGATAGGAGAGTCAGCAGAGTAAGAAGCACACCATGGTCTATCTCCATTTTTTAAATCCCATCATTCTGGCAGGCAAATAGCATCTATTCCAAAACTAGATAGCCGAGCCACCTTTTTACTCCTGTAAGAAAGTAGCACTACCGTTAATTACTGTTAATTCGGGCTCACCACTGCTTGTAATCTCTTCCTGTCCCTTACCTCAGGGGTCTCCAACCTTGACAACTTTATGACTCGTGGACTTCAACTCCCAGAATTCCTCAGCCAGCTGAGGAATTCTGGGAGTTGAAGTCTACAAGTCGTAAAGTTGCCAAGGTTGGAGACCCCTGCCTTAACCTTGTTTAGAGTTCAGTGTAAACATCCACGCACTAAAATCGCTTGGCATATTTTCCGAAATAATCTAAGTTTTTGTATGGATTTTGACCTTGAGCTCTGAACAATTCTGATTCTACATACCAGAGACTGTGCCACCTCATCACTTATCTTTTTCCTGTCAGGACATCACTAGCAATGTCCTCTGAGGCTAAACATACAGATGAATCACGTGCCAAACTAGGAATCATTAGTAAAACAAATAAGCAAACCCCAAAATTAAGCTGAATATAAACGCATCTTGAAAATAAAACTGAATTAATATAATAACATCCTGATAAGGGCATCTCAGAAAGGACCAACGAGAAAAAAACAACGATAATCAGGGGGCCAGAAGGAGACCATCAACAAAGGGACTTTAGAAAAAAATGGGTAAGGGGAAATACAGCAGAAAGAAAATAAAATCACGTTCTATATGTCCTAAAAGATTTCTAAAAGTTTTCTAAAAGTTTTCTACCAGCAGCGTTCTTTGCAATTTGTGCAATTTTTGAGTGTTGCCTAAACTTAAATAGTTTTTTATTTCTTGGTTTGAACCATCCTGAGTATTATACGCTGTGCAAACATAATAAAAAGAAGAAGAAAAAACATATTTTAGCATGAAGAACAGAAATGACCTTAGAACAGCATTTCGTAGATCATCATGGTTAAAGAAAGTCCTTACTTGACAATATCTTTTAGAAACTCCATTGTGAAGTAGTGATTGGCAATGTTGCCAGCATTAAAAAGTAATCGGCCATCCGAACTTCTTTTCTGGGCTGTGGCCAGAGAAATCTCACTGTATTCCACCACTTTGTAAACACCATCTACTCGGCACACCACTCCAACTGGTTCTGTCGGGTTCGTTTTTTCAACAACCTTGTAGTGGGGTAGAAAACAGAACTGTAGTAACTTGAATTGACGTAAATAACTGAAACACATTTTGATGGAATGTAATGCCTTCTCCAAATGCAATAACTGTTATCCTCAGTTTAATATATACTGGCCTAAGGAAGAAAACTTTAAATGATGGGATCCAACTATGCAAATTATCTATACCAATTGAATGAGCACTGGCAAAACAAAATAATTTTTAATTTTACCATATTGTTAAAATGCTTGAAATACAACAGATCTCAATAATGACAGTGTTTTCAATACCTTCAAATACTGTATGTAGTTCAAGTTTCAAGTTTATTAGAATTTGTATGCCGCCCACTCCCATAGGGACTCTGGGCGGCTCACAACAGACAAGAAACATTTAATTTTAAAAAATAGAGAAAATAAAATAAAAAATACAGTATTTGAAGGTATTGAAAACACTGTCATTATTGAGATCTGTTGTATTTCAAGCATTTTAAC